CATTCCTCGCTCTCTCCACAGACACATGCCAAAGAAATACCTTGGCCTCTTTGCTGTGGCTAGCAATGAGGCTCTGTCACTCCTGAGACCATCACTGGTTTCCATGGAAATACTAGCAGCTCTTGGAGGTTTTGCAGGTCTGCCAGGGAAAGGCAGTTTTTGCTATCTGTTCCTTGCTCTTCCCTTCCTAAAGTTAGGCTCACACTGTCAGACAGCAGAAATAATGCCATGTGGCTGGCTGCATACTGGAAAAAGTGCTTGTAGTACAGCTGCACTAAGTAGTTTGTGATCCCTCTGTGGCTGTAATCTGTTCATCCAAAATACTAGGCAAATAGAAACAGCCTCCTCCAAAATCAGGAAGGGTTCACAAATGCCTCCCAGCCTAAAAAAAGGCCTGAATTGATCTGATCTGAGGGACTGCTCATCCTATTTGGCCAGATCGTCATTAGGAGTAACTAGCTAATGCAGTTGGGAGCGCAGAGGTGAGGTTGGACCAGCCTATTTTAGTTGGACCAGCCTATTTTAGTTTCTTACCAGTGTTTAGCTGAGGAGACAAGGCTAGTCAGTCAGGGCAACACAATGGGCCCTATTGTTCCTATAGAGGCAGCTGAGTGTCCATGCCTCATGCAGGGCCTGAGCTGATGCTTGGAGAGTGAGAAACAAGCTAAAGCACAGGCTGCTATGAACCCAACACCATTCAGGCAGTGTACTTTCCATGTCAGCTCTTGGTTTTGGGCAGAGAGGCCCAAATGCCAGTACCTGATGCTAGAAGACTGAGGTGTATGCAAGAAGCTGGGGTGTCCCATTGTCGAGCTCTTCCCTGTTCTCTTGTAGGGGTGAACTTCAACATCAATCAGTGCAGCCCAAATGGAACTGACCCCTACAAACCAAAGTGCCCAGAGAGCAGTGAAGAGAACATGGAGCCCATCTTCCCGCAGTGGCTGACAGTCCTCCTACTGTGCATGTACCTGCTGTCTACCAACATCCTTCTCCTCAACCTCCTCATCGCCATGTTTAAGTGAGTCTGTCCTGAGCTTGCTGCACATCCCTAGCTGTGCTTCATGGAGCAGGTGGTGCTAGGAAATGGTGAGCTAAGGCAGGATGCTGTGGGATGAGCCCGTCCTTAGGCGGGAGCTCTGGGCACTCTGATCTGCATGGCAGAGACAACTTGGGGGCATGGACTTGTGTGTGAGCTGGTGCTCTGACACTGGCTTTGATGGGAGGTTACCTGGTGCTTATGGGCACGAGGCCTATGCCCAAAGTCTGAGCATCCTTGTGCATGGGGTAGTGCTGAGCCAGACGGGTACTGTGGTGCAGGCTTGTGTTTCTCTAGCCCCCAGGATGGCATGTATTTGTCTCTTTTTGGACCTCTTCCCAGCCCTCTGGCCACACCACAGATAACCCCTCTGCTTTGCCCCTCCCAGCTACACATTTCAGCAGGTGCAGGCACACACTGACCAGATCTGGAAGTTCCAGCGCCACGACCTCATTGAGGAGTATCATGGCCGGCCTCCGGCCCCGCCACCCTTCATCCTCCTCAACCACCTGCAGCTCTTCATCAGGAGGGTCGTTCTGCGAAAGCCAGCCACCCGGCCCAAGCAGCTCAGTAAGGAGCTCCTTTCCCAATGGAGCCAGCTGTAATGATGTGGGGCTTTGTGCTTCCCAGGTCTGGCTGGCATTCTAATAATCCTTGTGGCACAAAGGACTGAGCTTGAGACTTGGTACATGGTCTTGTGTGCCATTGTTAAGGTGGCCCTGGTGCTCTAAGAGACACTGGGTGACAGTAGTGGCCACTGTGCTAGACTGGGATCTAGAGACCACGTAGTGAGCTACTACTAAATGGCACTGGGGCTTATATTGGGCTGAATATGGCCTACACAGTTTGTTTTCAACTTGGCCTGCCGTGTGCAGGTTCTCCTCCCTTGATCAGTTCTCATTTCCTCTGCAGAAGAAAAGCTGGAGAAAAATGAGGAAGCAGCTCTCCTATCCTGGGAGATGTACCTGAAGGAGAACTACCTGCAGAGTCAGCAATGTCGAGAGAAGCAAAACACAGAGCAGAGGGTCCAAGACATTGCACTCAGGTACCGGCCCCATCCCTTCCCTGAGGCCAGGTTGTGTTTCTGCTTAGAGCTGCTTGTGTGGAGAAGAACAACGGATGTCTCTGTCCTTGCATCACATGTGGGCAACTCTGCTTGACACTGTTCTCTGGGTTTGGGTGGTTGATGTCCCTTGTGCCACATGTCATAGTTCCAAGGCGAACTGCCCCTTTCTCCCTCTGCTTGTGCATGCCTTGATGCCAGGCCTCATACCTAAACCTCTCCTGGGGGGAATCCCTCTTCAAGGGAGGCCTGGGCCTAAGCACATTGCTTATTAACCATATTTCCAGCTGGTCTTGATGTGTGTAGCTCTCCTGCATGGGCATCTGTGACCTGTGATGCCTCCAGTGACCAGACCACCCTTTTGAACCACAATGCAGTCTATTTTAATAAAGAAACACAGCATTTCAGGGAAAGGATGCGTTTTAAAACAAGAAATAGTCTACACATGTATCTGTCTTGCTGATTAGTGTACCAAACTCTCATGGTAACTGAGGCAGGTTGAGGTTTTTCAGACCCTCTCCCCTACCCCCACAGATTCCTGTGTTTCTTTCTGGTTCCTCTGGAAAAAATACCTCTTGCCCTTGGGAGACTTTTCATAGCTCCCAATGCAGCTCTTGATTTCTCATGGTCCTAGGCTATTTCCTGATCTGGCACCATCTCTCAAGTGTTGTGGAGAAGTGGCTGACCTGCAGTTTCTTTTTTACAGTTATCCCTTTAGCTGAACCAGTATCCTCCTATGTGAGGCCTTCTGGTAGTCAGGTTAGCATGCAGTGTTCAGCTGTTACTACAGGGCAACTCCACATCCCTTCCAGTCTGGAGCTGCACTTGCCCTGGGCCATTCTGGCATGACACCTGGATGTGGTTTGCTAAAAGCTGCGGACTCACCACACCACTTTCTGCCGGACAGTGGATCTGAAGGTCTTTTGTCTCAGCCTCTTCCTCTTCCCAGAGCTTTGATAATCCACCTACCATGTTCCCAATCACCTCACTTCCCAGCGCAGGCTGCCTGGGGCTCCCTCCCAGCTCATCAGTCTGAAAGTCACTCATGACACTACAAACTGAGGCAGCTGCTCTCTTCCCCTGGGCTTGAATGTGCTTCGGTGTGGTGTTCCACATCTCACTCACCCAGGGAACCAGGGGCTTGAATATGGGAATTTGGGGTAGTGGAGAAAAATGCTATGCCATAGTTTTGGCCCCACACTCCAGCCCATACTCTTGGGTACATTCCTTTTTCATCCATGGTGGACCCAGCCACGTGCTGGGGGATTGCCCTTCAGGACAGAGAGCTTCTCACTATGGTGACTCCTTGCAGAGCTGGATGAGCGCTGCAGGCAGCAGGACTTGGATTGTGTCAGTGGAGGGGGAGTTGGTGGATTATGAATGATCTGAGCTGCTTGGAAAAAAGCTAAACAGTAGGCCTGTGTGAGTCAGCAGTGATCCGATCCAGCTTCGGACTGGGTTTCTGCCTTGATCCAGCTGAAGCAGCTCTGAAGCTTCAGAGCTGCCTTGGAGATCTGCCCATAGGGTATAATGGGGAATCAATGAAATATCTATAACTTTGTTGTTTTTTTTGTCTGATTTGGATGGAACTTGCAGAATTGGTAGCCTCTGCTGAGAACATGAAACCTGCCAAGTTGCAAGAAGATCAGTGCAGGGGTTTGGGGGGAACTGTACGCCAAATTCTTGAAAGCCAAACTCCTGTCACATCTATGTGTTACACCACAGGCAGGTCATAACTGCAGGGCTGGTAGCTCTTACTGAGGTCACAAAGCCTGCCAAGTTTCAAGATTGGTGCAGGGGTTTGTGGGTAACTGCACCTCAAGCTGCGGAGAAGCAAAACTCGTGACATGGGTGACCCTGTGTATGTTAAGGCGCAACGGGGTGACAGCTGCAGGGATGGTGGCCCCTGCTGCAGCCATGATGCCTGCCAACTGTCGAGGAGATCAGTGCAGGGGGGTTCTGGGGCCCTGCACCCCTAGCTGCTGACAGGCAAAACTCCTGACATGGGTGCTTGTGGGACTGACAGTGTCTGTCTTGGGGCAATTGATTGTCTGTATTAATTATTTCCTCTCCTTAGTCTCTGCTTTTGTAGGTGCTAATTGATGGCAATTAACTGGCTACATTAGCTAGTTCCTGTGTATTGAGCTGGTCCCTGAGTGAATCATGATTGATTGGTAACTGGTAACACAGTAGCTTAGCAGCCAGGCCTGCAGTAGTCTCCTCTCCCTGCCCCAAGACAGACACAGTCAGTCCCACAAGCACCCAGGGCACCAGTTTTGTCTGTCAGCAGCTAGGGGTGCAGGGCCCCAGAACCCCCCTTCTCCAATCTCCTCGACAGCTGGCAGGCGTCGTGGCCTCAGCAGGGGCCACCATCCCTGCAGCTGTCACCCCGCTGCGCCTTACACACAGGGTCCCATGGCACCAGTTTTGCTTGTCCGCAGCTTGAGGGGCAGTTCCCCCCAAACTCCGGCACTGATCTTCTTGAAACTTGGCAGGCTTTGTGGCCTCAGCAAGAGCTACCAGCCCTGCAGTTTTGACCCCCCTGTGGTGTTACACATAGATGTTACAGGAGTTTTGCTTTCAAGAATTTGGGGTGCAGTTCCCCCCCAAACCCCTGCACTGACCTTCTTGAAACTTGGCAGAATTCATGCTCTCTGCAGAATCTTCCACCCCTGAAAATTTCATCCAAATTGGACAAAAAACAACAAAGTTATAGATATATTTTATTGTTTGCCCATTATACCCTATGGCCAGATCTCCAAGGCGGCTCCGAACTGCTTCGGGAAGCCTAACAAGGCCAGCGCCTCGACCCGGACATGCTGCTTCAGACGTCCGAAGCTTCTCCGGATCCAAAGCTCTGTCCGAACCCTCACACAGCCCTACTAAACAGACCTACTCTGTTGTCCTAGCAGCAGTGGGGAGGGCAAAGTGGAAATATATGGCATGGATGTGGGTACTCCTGGGTGCACCCCTGCTTCTGTGAGGAAAGTACAGGGAATGATGGAGCTGCTGTTTTAACCAGGAGGCTCTGACCCCATTCACCTATTACCAAGGACCACAGAGACAAAGCATCTGGGCGATGCCCAGGCTGCACTTAGAAGCCACTGAGGACCTTGAAGGAGAGTAGAATTTGGTCTGCTCTCTGCAGGCCCCTATCTCCATGCTGTGCCAGCTCTCTACACTGCTGTGGTCCTGGATGGGGGAAATGGGGAGAGAAGGACTGACTGGGTGTATTTGGGTGAGAAGGATTTTATGCCCATGAAAGCAGCTTGGTAGAGGCCAGTGGATGGCAGGTGAGCATGAGCAGCTCAGGGGGAGCTGGGGACTTTGGTGCCTGGGTAGACCATTTTGTGTGGAGCACCAAATGCCCGAATGAGGGGCTGGGTGTGAGTTCTGCCAGTGTGTGAGATCAGTGGGCATTGCCCATAAAAGCTCTTGCTTACTGTGGCCCTGACTGGCCATGCTCCTAGGGAGAAAGCCACCATCAGCTGCAATCCCTGCATAGACTACTCCCACCTGGTGCATGCAGTGGGACAAGGGAGGTGTCCCCCATCACACCAGTCTGCAGGGTTGGACACGCAGCATGCCATCTGACAGTGTGACACACCTGTTCCACCTCTGCTTCAGGTTTCCAGCATTGACTGAAGCACAGTCCTCCTCTGAGCTTCCCCAAAGGCAGTACAGCTCTTCACTGCCTCCTGCTCAGGCCTGCACCTCAGCCCTGTGTGACTAGTTATGAGACAGTTGCCACCAACACCATGGGTGCTGACACTGCAGGGACAGAACTGTCGCACTGTGCTCTCCTTTTGACTGTGTGTGTCAGTGCAGAGAAGGGCTGTCTGTGCTCACAGGTCTAAGTGAATGCACATTGACCAGACAGCTTGTCTGTATCCATTGTTTTGCAGTAGCCCCACTGCCCATTGCGTTGCCTGCCTCTATGCAGGTTTTGGTTCTCTAAAGCAGCTTTCTATCTCTCTCTTTCTCTGTGCTCCTTCCATTTCAGAGTTGACACACTGGCAGAGCTGCTGGAACTGGACCGGGTGAAGAGGACGAGCATGGTAGAGCAGAGGCTACTGTGTCTGGAAGAGCAGGTGAGGCAGACTTCCCCACGCAGAGGAAGTCTGTGTGACTAGTGAGGCTTTGGGTAAGCAGCCCAACCGAAAAAAAAAAAAAAAGGCGAGGAGGATTCAGTTTGGATGAAACAAAATTGAGATGTTTTGTTTTCATGTCAAAATGACCCCGCTATACACATAAGTTAATTTTCATTCAATGGGAAATGTTCTCTTTGACCCAAAGTGGGTCATTTCCTCATGGATGCTTGGGGGGGGGGGAGAACAAATGCAGTGAGAGGCCCCATTCACAAGACAGATGGATAAGGGAGGCTCTCTCTCTTGCACTGTCCACTTGCCCAGTGTCTAGAGCCCTCAGTCAAGATGTGGGTTCAAGTCTTACCACTACCTCAATGGACTTCTACACCCACATCTGCTAAGGAAGTGCTCCAACCCCCAAGCCTTTGTGAGGGAGAGGGGGAGACAGGGACCCCTCCCGTCAAAGCTGTTCCACTTTGCATTGATGGATCAAAGATTCACAGAAGCAGGGAGTAGTACCCGGGTGTTCCTCTTGAGACCCTCCTCCTGTCTGTGGCATTCAGGTGATTCACACAAAGTGGGACAGCTCCAGCACAAGAAGTGAAGCACATATCCTTACAGGATAGTGTATAGCCTTTCCTAGGACATTCAAGATGTGCACGTGAATCTCCTCAGCCTAAGGGATGGGGGTTGGGGGAGTTTGAGCTCAGGCCTCATCCATTTCTGTCTGCACCCTTGTATAAAAGGGGAGGTTCTCGTCCTCCTCTGGCAGCTTTGTGAATCGAGCCCTGAAAATTTGTTTTCCAGCTGAAACCATTTAGTGTAATTAACCTAAATTATCTAAGGTAGGAATTCAGGGAATTCCCTACGGAGTGACTGAGACTTCATTTTTCAGTGAACTCGCTCATCACCAAAAAAACATTTCCCAGCTGTAATAGAAAGAAGCATCTGGAGACTTGAACCTGTCACACACCTGAGTGGAATGGACTGTGCCCAAGACTGGGTGGCAGTGTCAGGAGTTTAGGGGACAGGCTGTGTCCGGGACTACCAAGAAATCTGGGAAACCTTTCCAGGATTTTCAGAGAGCTGTAAATTCATCTCAAACTGAATCCCCACCTCTGCTGTCCAGGAAACCTCTCCCATAAGGGAAGCCATGGACCCTCCCTCTCTGCCTCCCCTCCAAACTGGGCACTGGGAAGGAGATCCTGGTAGAAAGGTGGCTTTCACTGACTGTCTTCAATACTTTGAAACAGATGCTCCAGAGCGCCAAGGCCCTGAACTGGATTGTCCAAGCCCTGTACAGGAATGGATATGGGCTGGAGGAGGATGCTCCCCCCATGAGTAAGTTCAACAGGTCTGTGGCTGCACAGGTACATGAAAGGGAGTGTGAGCACAGAGCATCCTTTGCCTTCTGGGACCTGGTTCTCCACTGGCTTCTAAAGGATTGACGCTGGTATCACTCCTGCTTTTCTGCTGAGGTCTCTCCTGACCATTCCTGGCAAGTCTCAGGAGCTCACATGTGCTAAATAGCCAAAGCAAACTGCACATTCTTGCATTTCCTTTCCTCTGCAGGATTGTGGATCTGCTTGGAGTCCTGGAGCCATGGTGGGAGGGGGAAGGTTGTTCTCAAATGGGCTGAGTCAGCTTCCTCAGCTTGGTGCAAGTTTCTTCACCAAGAGCATGGACAGAAGCATGATGGTCCCAAAGACGTGGCTTGCCTGCACAGGCTCCATGTCTCCAGTGTGCTTCTTGGCCTGTGCCTAGGGCCACTCTGAGCTGGCTGTAATGCCTCACTTTCAAGCCTTGAGTGAGGTGGGCTTGGCACAGAGTCTGTGCAGACTTGGCCTCAGGGCTGGAGCTCCTCCAGGTTGGGCTGGGCATGCCAGTCACTTTTCCCATCTACCTGTGAAGGCACCTCTTGCCCTTGCTCCAGGCCTCTCTCTTTTTCCCATCCCCAAATGGGCTCTGGTTCTCCTCTGGAGGGTCCTCTCCTCTCTTTTCCCAGCTGCTGGGGAAGCTTGGAGGCAGCTCCTAACCTCCCACCTACCCCCAGCTCTCTGTGTTGACTTTGCTCTCAGCACCTGCTTCCACCCTCCACAGATGTGCAGGCCATATGATGGGGCGGAGCAGGGGCTGCAGCACCAGGCATCTGGGACAGCGGGAATAAACAGGGAGTCCAGTGCTGACCTCTCATACAAACTACCTGTCACCACTTGGCAGGCAAAATTCTGACTGGAAACCACTGGGTATAATGGGATTTTGTCCATTGCTTCCAGTGAGCTCTGGGCAGTGAGGAAAGCCATGCTGTTGTGAGGATACCCCCAAATACCCCCATAGCTTTACCTCCTAATGCCTCTTGGGTCTCACAGTTCCCTTTCTGCTTTGTGGGACCTTGTCTGTCTGTGCTTGTCTCAGTCCCCAGCAAAATGCCTGAGGTGAAGGACTATGACTCGGAAGAGAAACCTCAGGAGATGAAGTCCATGTATCACGTGAATGCCCGCAACTTCCTATATCCTAGCTCCTACACCATCCGCTTCCCGGTGCCGGACGAGAAGGTGCCCTGGGAGGTAGGAGTCTTGGCCCACGGGGAGCAGGCCCTGAGCCTGGGAGATGCCACCTTGTAGGAAAGGGGCTCCACTTTTCATAGGTGTTGATGGAGGTAGGCTGGTGTTGTGGGCTGAGCACTGAGCAAGGAGCTGGGAACCGCTGTGTTCAGTGAGACGCTGCTGCACTACATGCTTTCATGCCAGTCACATAGACCAGGGGTCAGCGACCTACAGCCCACAGGCCAAATCCAGCCTATGAAGCTGGGACATCGGGGCAATTCAGCATTAGGTCACCAGGCTGGACTCGATGATCTGCAAGGTCCCTTCCAGCCCATAATAATCTATGAATAGGCAACACAGAGGGAGGATGTGGGGGCTGCTGGACCTAACTGCATTAATTCGGCCTGCTCTTCCTTAAAGGTTGCTTACCCCAGGCTTTCTATTAGGCCACCAATATCAAACTTGGAGCTTCCATCCACATTTAGGCCTGTAGATAAGGGGCCCCATTATCAGAAGTCAGGGGGAGCCACAGGGGCCCAGGACCTCAGATTTTAGCTTGAAACCTCATTATACATTCAGATACCTGTCCTTAGGTACCTCCATCTGAAATGTGGGCCTTGTCCTTGCCTGTGTGTAGTAGAGAGCAGCTGCTACTGATCCTCTGCATGGGTGTATAGGTTAGCAGAGAGAGAATCTCAAGAGCACCTAAGTGAGTTAGCAGCTGGATTTTCATTTTCTAAAGGGATTCAGGTACTTTGGTGCTCAAGATTTATGGCAAATCCCTGAGAATTTGACTCCTCTGTACCTAGATCTCTTCTAAAAATGGTCTGCAGACTCCTTAGTTACTTGAGTGCCTTTGCAAGTGTTATCCAGCATGCTGTAGATGAATAACATGGCCATATTTCAGTGTGCAAGTGGCGCCGCCTTTCTCTCAGTCTCACCAGCAGCCAAGGGCTCAAGAGTGGGTGCTGGGCATGAGTCTGGAGCAGCCTAAGGGCACACTCTGGTGTTGGAATATACCAGCAGACTTGGGGAGGTGGGATGCGCTCAGTCCCGGCCTTGACAAGACCTGCAAGATAGGCCTCCTTGCATCTTTCTGGAAGACCAGCATATACCTGATGATCCTGGCCTGAAATTCTCAGCTAAGGAAACAACTCTGTCTGGACCACATCCTGTCTGTCTGGGAACAGGGCTCTGGCTGCACACTCACAATCTCCATGCCCCAACTCAGCCATTACTCAGTCCCCAGGGGTAGGACCGGAGAATTTGGCCCACGTTACCTTCCTAAGTCAGAGTGGTGTCAACAGTGGAGGGCCAAAGTCTCTGCTTCACAGAGTTAATGCAGAGTGAGGCAGAAGTAGAGGGTCCAGCTGGTACCTGGTGGCAGCTCCCTGATTTCCAACCTGGTCTCCAACCCAGGGTGCAGGTCAGAGCAGCCAGGAGTGCCCATGCTGTCTCTGGCACTTCCTGCTGTGCTGGTAGCCAGAGGGAAGAGGTCCAATGACACCAAAGCCATGTGTGCTGAGGTCTCAGCTTTCTGTGCTACTGGAGAGGAGCAAAGCAGGCTGAGAACTTCCCTAAGTGTCTGTGCCATGAGCCAGGACACATAGGAGGCACTTGGCTTTCAGCTGTCACCTAGGCACTTGGCTGTCTCAGGACATTGGGTTTCATTTGGTGTCAGCTGCAGTGCTCCCAAGGCCAGTGGTGGGCACAGGCTGGGGTCCCCATAGGGAGTCTTTTGCCAGCCCTGCAGCTCTGACCTGGAGCCCAGTCCCCTTCATAGAGCCTCTGGCTATGACAGGACTGGGTTCCAATGCAGCACCAAGCAGTGGAGGTGCCCATCCTGTGTCCCATCAGGGGCTAGTTCCCCAGGATCAACTCAAAAGAGACCATGGGGCAGTGAGCTGGGCTGTGCTGGAGCCATGGGAGGGATGCCCAGGCTCAGGAGCCATCGTCCCCTGGGAGGCTGAAGGGAGCTTTGTGCACTGCAGGTGGAGTTCCAGATCTATCAGCCACCCTTCTTCACTGCAGACAGGAAGGACAAGGCTGCCTGTGACCCTCTGGGACAGTGAGTGTCAGATCTGCTTGCCTCTTCCTCTTCAGTTCCCCCCCACCCTTCACCTCTCCCTCTTGGTCCCCCTCTGCCACCCCCTGCTCTGTTTTCCAGCTCTGTGGAGTCTCTGCTGAAGATCAGCTTCAACACGATGGATGGACTGGTCAACCGGCAGAGCTTCCATGGCACCTACGACATCCAGGAGGGGCTGCCGCTGTGAGTGAGCTGGGCAGGGTGGGGAGTGAGGGTGCTTCACAAGCAAAGGTCTCCAGAGCAAAGCACGCCTGGCTCATTGCCGCTCTATGCTTCAGTTTCACCGCTTCCCTGGGGAGAGGTGGGGAGGGGGAAGTCATACCCATCACAGCCCAGTGTGACCCCTGGAATCCCACAATGCAGTGCACTGCCCAGCTGCTCTCCCTTTGTGTCCCTGAGCCTGGCTGTTGCATGAGCAGCTGCAACATGCCCCGTGCTGCATTAGGGGCAGGCCTCACAGTCCTGGCAGGCTCCCAACCTGGCCCTTGCTGAGGCAGGAGTCCTTGCCCCTGAGCAGAGCTTTCAGGTTCCTTTGAAGAATAACAGGAAGATGAGGAAGTTCCTCTGCTGTAAATGAGGCCTTTGTTCCCTGCAGGGAGCACTGTACCCCAAAGCACCTGCTCTTCAGTCAGCCAAGGCCTCACAGCCGGTCACAGAGCAAGGATTGCTGAGGCTGGTTGGCTCTGGTGGCCGGATTAGGGTTCCTGGAAAACTCAGCATTGGCTGTTTGCCATGCAAAAGTTGCCTGTTGGTTACAGATGTGGGGCAGGCACTTGGTGGTGGCTTTTCATTGCCTTCACAAACTCAGAGCAAAGTGGGGGTGGCATGTGCCACAGCTGGGACTGAGTTCATGGACTGGCACAGTGAGGGGTGAAAGGATTCAGAACAGACAGCAGTCGGGTCTTCTTGGGCTAAGCCAGCTGAGCAGGCCCAAAGAGCACCAGGGGAGAGGGCACAGCTACACCACGCTCCCAAGGAACAAACGGGGGCGTTGAGGAAGCAGACCCCGAACACCTCCTCTTTCTCCTGTACTGTTCTCCTTCTGCTCCTCACAGCCAATATAGATCAGGGTAGTCTTCCCGCTTCTACTGCCTTAAAGGGACTGCACCAGTCAGGAGTGAATGAGAGGAAAAAATAACCCTCCCTGGAGAAAGAAGTGTTATCCACTATTGCAGTCTGCTTGGTGCAGGGCAGACTTGTTATTCAATGTGCTTGGGAGTTTTTGCTCTCCTTAAGTTTTCTGAATGGCTGAGTCCATCTCGGGGCAGGCTCTGGCTACCCAGTTCAGAGCTAAATTCTGTGGCAAGTTTGTCTGTGTAAGCATACTCTAGGAAAATTAATTTGAATGAACTCTTAAAGGAGACTAGGTAGACTGCATTAAACTTCTTCATGGACTCTCTTTGGAATTAAAGTGGCCTTAATATAAGTCAATTTATTTCATTTCCAAGATGAGCAGAATGAAGGCAGCTTTAATGGTAACTAAGAGTATCGCACAGGGGGTTAATCCAGTTTAACTAGTTTGGATCACGTCTTTAGCTAATTCATATGAATTTTCCTGAATGCTTTTGTGTAGACAAGCCTCAGTCCTGGCTTATGGAGCACTGAATGAAAATGGTGTTACTACACTGGACTCTTTTTTTCCCCTTGAGTTAATGTAGTGCCAGTGAATTGGGGGTGGTTGATACGTTTGTAAAGGCCAGACTGGACATTACCCGTGTTGTGAAGCAGGAATGATGGGGCTGTTCACACCAGCCTTTACAAACATGTGAACTCCTGGGAAATCACTGGTTATCCTTTAATGTGGGGTCAAAAAATCCAGTGTAAACAACCCCATGAACATCACAGCTGATTTGACACTTGGAAATATTTCTGCCTAGTGCCCACTTTCACTTGGTGACTTTCTCTGTGTGAAAGCAGAACTTCTGGGCCTGGGGCTATGTTTGATATTGTGGAAAATGCCCCAACTGATCCTAATGTGACCGACTTTGTGTCACTGTGCCCTAGAAACCTCAGCACCAAGAAAGAAAATGCTGCTGCAGAGTTTTCCACGGGGAAATGGGTTATGGCATAAATATTAATGAGAGATGCAGTTAACCATGTTAATCTGAAGTCGGACACAAGGCAGGGTAAATTTTGTACCTTATGTGGTAGGACAGTAGGGGGTGCTCCTGCTTTGAGCCACCCACCTTACTGTGGCTGACCAAGAACCATGCTTCAGGTGCCTTCCCCAGGGTGCCTATGTCCAGCCATCCCCCTTCCAGAAGCACACCTGCAAGCCTGGGGTAGCCACTGCCACCACCCGGGCTTTGGTCTTTGTTGGAGCTCTGTGCCCCCCCAGGATACACAGACCTTGTGGACCTTGAGGGTGCTTAACCCTCTGTGAGATTTTTGGGGTGCTTCCTTTAGCCTGAAGCATTCACAAGCTGCGTTGTATATAGGAGGAGTGGTCCCCCAAGGCTGATCCTTCCCTCTTAAGCACACACTGCAAGGGGTGCTTAGACAGATAGATTTATTGATTTAAAGAGGGATGGGGTGTGGAAAGCATATAAACCACAGATTGTTGAAAGGGGAACTACCTTGAGCAAATCAGTATGGGCTTGTTTAGCCCTATTGCTACACATCTAGAACACTCAATCCTAAATTACTAGCTAGGTTTCCGGTAGGCTACTCACAATTCCATCCAGAGACTCTGGAGGCCACATGGCTCGCGGCTGCACTCCCAGAACATGTCTGTCCCTTGTCCAGGAAGAAGGGACCCTGTATATACTTGTTGTGACCTCATCACTAAGTTCCAACCAGCAGCAGACCCATTGGCTGCTGACTGGTGCTTCCAAAAGACATCACCTTCCCAGGTAAGAGGACTAGTCACATGACCTGCAGTGGCGGGACCTCTTAAACAAAGAAAGAGAGAGTTACCCGTTCCCTATGGAATTAACAACCCTGTTACTTAGGAGACCAGGTGAATCCAGCTGCCAGAGTTTGTAACCAGAGAGGGAGGGTTTGGGCTGTAGCCCTACAGCAGTGAGACAGGCAGGCAGAGAGGTTGATTTGTCCACACTTTATAGACTAACTAAATCAGAGCTTTTGTGAGTCCTTTATTGACAGAGTAGAAAACGAGAAAAAATGTGGAACTATTCCCACCTGCTAACACGCAGCCCATTGCTCAGGACACCACCACTCTGAACCCTTGCCTAGAAAGCACCATGTCATATACTTTCCAACTGGAAAAAGTTGTAAAGTTTTATTAGATGATTTTCCAGGAGTTGTTTTGAGCAATTGTTCTTTGCTTCCTGGAATATTAAGAGGTTCCAAGAAGCTAAAAAAAGGAGTGGAAACAACATGCGTCTTTGTACCAAACTATTCTCAGCATCTTTGGCGCTAGGCGATGTATGCATGTAGTGCTTGTGAAATGTGCTGTTGGGGTTGAGAGAAAAAGCTCTGGGTCATATGACAAGGCAGGAGAGCCAGCAGTGGGATCTCAACACCTCTCTGGCTTCTTCTGTGCTAGGAATCCCATGGGAAGGACGGGCCTACGAGGCCGAGGGAGCCTGCGCTACTTTGGGCCCAATCATGCAATGCACCCTGTTGTGACTCGGTGAGTGAAATGGAGGCTTGCACATCTGGGCATCATTCTTCAAGTGAGTTGAATGGAGCAGCACCCTCCCCCAGTGAGGCAGGAAAATCAGCACTGTAACTCACTGGGCAGAAGACCTTTATACACAGCAGTGTGTCAGAGGTTCCTGTTCCTATTTCACAGACCCTGGTGCCCTCGTGTAGCAATTTTATCTGGCCCATTTAAAGATCCAGAGTCTGCTACTTCTTTTACGTCAGCTTTACCATGAGGCAAGGGAAGAGCTAGCCAGGATAATAAATCCCCACTTGTCCTTGTGATTTTTGCCCTGCAAATGCATCTTCAAAGCACTTTACAGTCATTACCTCTCACCATGCTCTAATAGGATAAGTATCACATCCCATTCTATAGATGGGGAAACAGGGATGTAGGGACATGAAGGGATTTGCTGAAGACCACAGTGAGTCAGGGGCTGAGGAAGATTTTGCGCTCAGGTGTCCCTGCTGCTAGCTAGCCTATGCTCAGCTATAGGGACCAGGCTTAACTCCTTAGTATGGGCAGCTGATTTTATCTTTGTCATCCTCAAGGCTGACCCTGGAAAGACATCTTACCTTCCCTCATAGGCAAGAGAGGAAGCTGGGAGTGTGAGACCTCCGCAGGGACAATCCCAGAGAGGGGAGGTGGGGTGCTGTTAGCGGATGGGTCTCTGAACTCTCTTTATCCACTGGCTTTCCCTGATGGGCGGCGGAGGTGATGGAGCAGGGTCCTAGCGTGGTGCAATGCATCTCTCTCTCACAGCTGGAGAAGGAACACAGATGGGCTGATTTACAGGAAGAATTTGAAGAAAATGTTGGAAGTCCTTGTTGTCCTGTTTCCCTTGTCAGACCACTGGGCTCTGCCTGGGGTAAGAGTCAATGAGACAACCAGCTGGACGGGGACTAGAACAATGTGCTGTTCACCTTCCTCCCCACCTGGCTGGGATCCTGAGGGGTAGGGTAGGACAGTCCTTTTGTCTTTTATCTGTACTAGTTTTACCACAACTTCTACCCTTGTTCGTGGTGCCTAGTCTTTTGGAAAGCCTTGGCAAGCCAATGGCCTTAGTAAATTGTGGGGGCAGTAAGTTCCAAAGGTTCATGAGCTTATGGGCAGGGACGTGATTTCATGCATGTTTTCACTCTGTGGGACAGTGCATGCTCACTCTCCAGACCAGTGTCATACCTGGTTCAGTAACATCTACTGTCTTTGCAGTGGTCATGGGGTCTGTTCCCATGCTAGGGGCAGGGAGGAGTCCCAGCTGACAGGGCCCAGTTTTGAGAACCTGGTCTTGTACAGGGGTCACTGGAGCCAGGCGAGTCACTGCCGCTGAAGCTGAAGCACGTGCTAAGACGGGAGTTTTGGACCCAGTTCCAGAACCTGCTTAACCAGGGCACCGAGGTACGTGGGTTGCTCCTGCGGGGCATAGAGCCTGGATGTTTCTGCAGGGTTGGTGTCAAGGGGTTGTGACTACAGCATCTGTAGATATACCTGGCACATGGTGGCACACGCCAATGACTTGATGACATCTCTGGAGCCCCCACTAGACTCAGGTGGCACAGACCTAGACTGCTGCACCATGACTGCTGTTGTGCCCTATGTTAGTGCTGGCCAGTGCTGCAGTCACACCTCTCACTGCAGGGTAGACACAGCCTAAGATGGAGGTGTCAAACATATAGCCCGCAGGCTGCATCCAATCCACAGAGCTGTGTCATCTGGGCTGTGGGGCTTCTGGAAAGGCCAGGAGTTTGAGGGCAGGGTGAGTTGGGGCAAGGCCTCCTGGCAAAATGCAGGGTATGGAGCTCCAGTGGGGAAAACCCATTGATTCTCCTGCAGCCCGCCCAAGGCACAGATACTCTACCATGGAATTAGCATTCTTGGGCAGCACCAAAGGAAGACCACAGTCTTCAGATAGGGTCAGAGATAGGGCAGTTGGGGCCTGCAGTTACCTTTGCCTTGGCAGCCACCCATGGGCCAAGTAGGTCTGAGAAAGTTTATCCCTATCAGATTGACATGTGGCTCTGGCTGTTGCTGTCCTGTATTATGCTCTGGAAGTGAACCCAGACAACCTCAGGCCTGACCTCAAGCCCAGAGCAGCCAGTGGACAGGCTCCTGTGACTCCAGCAAGCCCTGGATCTCTCAGTCCTTTTTCCAGCTATGCAGCTGTCAGGCAGCTCTGTCCTGCTAGCCCATTCACAGCTGCAGGAGCCATATTTGCTCCCTAAGAGTGTCAAGCCCTACAGAGAGGTGACCAGGGAGCAGAAGCCACGTGACAGCTGACACCCTCCTAACTCAGTGAAACGTCTCTCCTGCCTTGAGGGGCCCTTCCCAGCTGTCCTCTCTCCCTTTACAGATATACAAGGGCTACGTTGATGACCCTAGGAACACGGACAATGCCTGGATTGAGACCATCGCTGTCAATGTGCACTTTGAAGATAAGAACGACATAGAGATGAAGCGGATGAACTCGGTAAAAACTCCTGCTTTCCGGCTTCCAGGTGAAAGGGCCTCACTCCCAGCACAGTTCAGAGAAAGAGGCTCGTTGAAGGCTGTAGCCTGGGCCCAGCAAAGACGGTGAAACCTCAGAGTTCAGTGCATGACCTAGCTGTCCCCAGTCTGTGTTGATGTAGCCATGATCCCTGCCCGGCACCTTGTGGTCTCAGAATGGTGGTGAGGTCCACTCTGGTTTTCTCTCTCTCTGTGGGTTGAGGGGGACCCAACTATGAGGGGAACCAGCCTGGGGAATGCACAGGTATGAGAGGTCTCCTGGCTGGGGTTTCAAAGGCTATTAAACGCCACATGGGTGCCTCTAGACTGCCTTGTGGTAAGACAGCTGCCCCTTGGGGAAGGATGGCCACTACAGTTGATTATGGAAATGTAGAGCCAGGGTTTTATCCAACAGCCCCCAGTAGCTGCGGTGCCCTAAAATCCCATGGTGGGTGGTGTTGGGAGTGATGGGTAATAGGGATCCAGAGAAAGCATCTTGTCCATATCTGAGCTGTCCCATGCCATGCTCTACTGTTTTCCCTTTGCAGTTTCTCCAGGGGCTGGACCCAGAGGTCTGCATCCGCTGGCAAGTGGTGGATAAGAGGATCCCCCTGTACACGAACCACAAGGAACTCCTGCAGAAGGCATCTGCCCTCCTGGGTGCCTATTACTGACTTAATCACCACTGCCATCAGGGATGTTTTTTTCTGGATCCAGGAGATGAGCTACTTTTGTCTCAGTCTCCAGGCTGGGCCTTCCAGCTTGTCACTTGGCCTGACCCACGGGGCCCAGTGAGACGGTGGGTCCCGTGTGATTCTATGCGACTCTTGCTTAGGTACCTGGAACACTTTGGCAAGAGGGACTGTCCTCCAGGCCAAACTGCCTCACACCGCTCTGCTGAGGCACAACAAACCTGGCCAGTAACTTCCCCTGCTCTCCCAGGCTTGGTGCTTTCCTGAGTAGAAACATATGCTTTGGCTGAGTGGCTTTGTTTTGTGCTCCCAAATGGGAGACTTCACTCATTTGCCTTTTGAGGGGTGGGCCAGGTTCTCAAGATAACAAGCCAATGTCTTGACTCACAGTGGGCACGTCTACATGTGCAGTTCATGCAGCTGAATAAACTCCAGTGCAATTTGAGCTGGATTAAAGTAATCTGGATGTCACCAGCTACATGTGTTTAAGCACAGTAATTTATTCCGCCATCATACCTGTGTCTGATGGGACTATCTGACGGCACAGTAAATTAGTCTACACGAGCCTAATTGCTGTGCACATGTAGATGGTGATGGTTTATTGTGTAGCAAATTAGTCTACTGTGTACTAAAGCATACATGTAGATGTATTCAGTGTTAGCCAGGGGCCCTGGTTTCTATTACCTCCTCTATCACAGACATTTTAAGTAAAGGTTGGAGCAAGGCTTCTAAATGCCTTTAGAGATTTGGGCCTTGGTCTCTCTGGGTCTCAGTTTCTCCTCTGCACAACTTGAATAAGTCTTGTAAACTCCCTGGGGCAGAGACAGCCTCTCATCATTTGTTTGCACAGCACCTAGCAGGGCCTTCATCTCCACAAGGGCCTCTGTTTTCTCCTGTCACACAAACAACAATGTGAACAATGCGAATGTGAACAAGCCCCTTTTTGCTTGTAACTCAACCCCTCTCCCTGCCTCCATTTTCCTCAGAAATGAGCATCCCAATCTATCCACACTCATTCTCCTGAGCTGAAATGCTGGTCCAAACATCTCCTCACAGATAGGTGAAGTGAGACTATTTGAATCCATCCACCCCTTTCATTCTCAGCACCGTCAATCTTTCCCTCAAACTTTTGCTGCTGCTGCTACCTGTGACAGCTAGGGTCATGCTTCCCTGGGGCCTAGAAGAGCAGGCTGGAAGTGCAAGCAGCAGGCCCCTACCTTCTCCAGATGCCCAGTTGTTCAGCTTCTCCTGGATAACACATAACTGGAAGTTGGCCAGGGTTTCACAAATCTCCTGCCATTTCTATGGTCTGCCCAAGGCACTACACTAGACATTTAGAGCCCTCCATTCCACCTGATCATGCCCACAGGGCTCACCTCTGACTCCTGTGTACATGCCTTTGTAAAACACTTTGGGATCTCTTGGTCTGAAAGCCTCTTTAGTGTTCCTGTGAGCCAATAAATCTGCTTCTGCCCACCTAGGCTTGTTGCCACCTCTGATTTTGACTTGGGAATATAGACTGGGTTATGTCCCGTCATATGCTATAAAGGCATTAATCCCAAACGACTTTGAGTGTCTATGGCTGCTATTCATCTATTTATTGCTATATACCTCTGTTCAGATACCTGAGAACCCTTTGAAGGCCCAGCATCCTAACTAGCTTTGGTTAAGAGCCGTGTTGTAGCTGAGCCTGTTCTTTGGTGTAATGCAAGCCACCTTCTTCAGATGCTGAATGCCACTTTTTTGGGTAGACAGAGCTGAACAGTCATTCCTGAAGCTATGATTGAAAGTGTGCCCCCCTCCATGCACACAGGCATACATGCACATCCCTATGTGCATGCATGCCCCTGAGCAGTAGAAAGTGGCTGGCAGTGGAATAAATGTTCTATGGCTTAGGAAATCCAACTCCAGGGGCTGAGGCTGCAGCTTCTGGTTTTGAATCTCAGCTGTCAAAGGGTCAAAGTTGGAGATGTGTGTGTATAGTAGTGACGTCTGAAGCAGGGGGATTAGGCCATGAGTGACCCTCCTGATGGACTTTATTGGGAGTCCTTTCTGTGAACGCACCTCAACAGAAGGTCATGTTCCTGATGAAACTGTTCGGAATTGATCTTGGATCCTGCAGTTCCTATACAGGAGTGACCCCTTTGTTCACACCCTTTCACCATCCCAGCCCTTCCAGGGCCGTCATTCTGAACAGGCTTTTTACCAGAGCCGAACAAGCTATCCTCATTAAAACGTGGTTGAAACAAACCCCTAAACAGTTTATCTATAAATGTGTGGAAAGAATGTCTGTAAAACCCTTTCAGCCAGTCAGCTCCCTGCAGTTCACGAAGACTTCCAGTGTATACTTTTTTTTACGACTATGGCTGTTCTTGACGGGATTCTTATTTCTATCCCTTAGTCTCTGACCAGTCAGAAACTCTTCTTTCCCCATTGGTCCACTGATCAATAGAAACCGACAACAAACATGAGACGTGGAGTGTGGATTTTAGCATTTGCAAAGGGTGCCGGAATGATGATTTATTTAATGCATCATCTAACTCAATAAATACACTATTAACTAAAACCAGCAGTTCATTATGCTTGTTTATTAACTGATTGTTCCTGAATTTCTTCAGTTTCTGAACTTCTTTCTGACAGACCTAGGTCCCCACTTCAGCAATTACTCATAATTCTACACTTTAAATGTTGGTATTTATTTAGACAGCTGCAAAGAATAAAAATACGATCTAATAGAGTTGGTTGTTAATGGAATCAGTCAGCGTCCCATTTTGGTGTGCAGCTTCCAAAATAAATGGCTCTGTTTCACCTCACCTCTTAGGTGTCAGCGACTTGGATCCCATTAATGTTATTACTTGCATTGTGAATAGTCATGCTGTCTCTGCATAGTTATTAGGGTAGGAGCTTTCTTCTCAGAATAATGACTAATTTAAACACTCGCACACCCTCAGCTCCACCAATACCAAACCAGCTTGCTTGCAAATTCATACATGACAATTTACTACAGAATGCGCAAACATGTTGTGACAAGTTCAGAGCAAATCTGAGAAGCTGTTTAGAAAAGAGAGGAGTTCCCAAACTCCAGCTCTTTTTTTTTTCATTATATTTGCCTGGTTACATCTCAGGCAGGTTTTTCCATGCAAAATGTCATTTGAATTTCCTTCTTCCTTTCCATCTGGAACGGTGCCTTTCAGTGTTGTCTGGTCTTTTGGAGGGTTTTGAGCTGATAGTGTCAGTCTGGCCGAGGATACAGAAAATTCTGCAGAATTCTGTTCTGAGACAACAGACCCAGGGATGTTGGTGAATACTTGGGTCTGTGGAAAAATGAGTCCTTAGTAGTTACCTGGCCACTGCGAGCTACAGTGGCAGCTTTTTCCAGGTAATGTAGCTTGGGCCTCCTCCTCCACTGATGGAAATCTATGCTGCATCGTTGATGGTTCCTGCCACATCAGGATCTGGCCTGCTGTTTGTCATATACACCTGAGGAGGAGGCATCCTAGTGATACAGTACTGCCCTCAAGTGCTGCCCACCAACCTCTTCAGGACTCACTGCCTGAGCACCCGGAGTGCCTGGGAACTCATGTCTGGATTAGGACAAAAAAGAAAGAGCTATGTTCATCGGCCACAGCAGGGTACCTGGCAGCCCTCCTGCGGTGCATTCAAGTGGCCTACAAGATGGAGCCAGGTTGTGCTGAAACTGAGTACTCATTTTAAGACACCCGTATGTTTCTAGACCTTGGGCTTGTGAAGCAAAAAATTTAAATATGAATCAAGTATAAGCCGATGGCATGAGTCTGCAGAGAGCCTAAAATAATGGCACTGAGCTATGAATCCCCGGCCTTTGCTTGCTTTTAGCCCGGCAATGATGCTTCATGTTATTGATGATTTCACAGATGGTCCCTGGTGTCTGCAGTATAGCCAAGATGTGACTTTTTCACCAAGATAAGGGCATCCTGGTGCGTGGCAGTGTAAACACTCAAGGTGGGAGGAAAAAGTCTCTGTCCCATACAGCTCAGCTCAGACTTTGTCATTCAGGGTCAGGACACTGGGCAAGAAAGAGGAAT